ACCGCCGCCGCCCGCGGGTTACTGAGAGAGATTTGAGTGTGAGCATGCCCCGTTGAGGCCTGATAGACGGAGGACCGGTGGGAGGCCGCCGCAACTTGGTARTGCGGCAAGCTGTCCCGATAGTAGGAGACTTGGAACCCCACCCACTTCGGTCTTTAAAGTTCTYAWTTGAGTAATTGCTACTATCACCAAGATCTACACGAGGACCTGCCTCGCCGATTCACGCTATAGGCTATACAGGCAGGCCCTGTTCGCCTTTGCCTGTCGCTGCTTTGGGACTGTCGCACCGTTGAAGTATGGGCCGTGCGCTTCAAAAACCAGCCCCAACGGGCTAACCGATTCGGCATGCGGAGTAGGTACACACCCCTCGGTGGACCTTGACTGTCATGACTACCGCAGCTCGATCGGTTGCCTCCGTAGTTCCCTATCGGGTAAGAGGAGTAGTCGGGCGGCCCTCATCGAGCCGCTGTGGGGACAACCTCTGTTGGAGCGCTGCGACGGGCGGATCGAAGGAGAAGGGTCGAAAGACGGGTGTAGCAGTAATCTTTCGAGCGCAACCGTAGTAGTCGCTGCGATAGGACGGGCCAGGCCGCCCGTCGAACAGTGTTGGGCGCCGTGGGTCCGCTACGGCTGGTCGCTGCGCTAGCAGCTGGGAGACGACGACGATCCCGGACGGTGGGAGGAGGATGAATTGGGTCGCGAACTCAGGCCGGGTACATGCGCAGAAGGAAAGACACAGGGCGCGTGCGGAGAGAGCGGGGCTATGAGAGGCGGAGGATGGTAGGCATCGAGGGAGGCTGGTAGCAGTAAGTGGGCGCAGGCAAGCCAGCGTCGGGCGTTAGAGCTAAGGAAGGGGAAGAAAACGATTCGGGACAGGAATGCGCGCCGGGTGCGTGCAAAGATGAAGATGGCGTGAACGAGGTAGAAGAAAGGAGTTACCACTCGAGTCTTGATAGAATCGAGCGGGGAAAGACTTAGAGTAAAGGTTTTAGGATAGGGCGATTTCACTGGGAGCGTTAGTTTTGGTCAAAGGTTAGTAGATAGAGGTTTAATAAGAAGATCTGTTGCCCGGAGTCATGGTGATGGGAGGATAAGGCGGAAGGAAAAATTGAATAACGTTTTCGTTCCCCGATTGTTTTGGGCGGGGGGGGGGAACATGCAGCTTCGGGGTACAGATATCAAGCGAATCAGATCATGAAGTTAAGATTGATAGGAAGTTAGTATAGTAAGAGTTAGTGGAAAAAAGCCGCGCGCGGAGCCATGGTGAAAGGGAGTAGGAGGGAGAAAGTATATCTCGGTCATATTTTAACCGATTTCTTTGAAGTAAGACTCGAATTCGGGGTTTCCTGATAAAGCGATTTCAGTGGAATCATTAGTTCTTGAATTAATGGAGTAAGTTAGGAATTAGTAAGGAAGAAGGCTGCACCTAGAGGGAGGACTGTTTCGCAGAAATCCAAAGAATA